TGCATAGATATTACACATTATATATTTTTAAAACATTCTTACATTAACATTTTGCTACTGGGTTCATTTTTCCCATTTCATAAATGAAAAAACTAAGAATTAAAATATGTAATAGCATAATACATGGAGAGTCAAGCATGCAGCACTCACTGTGTCCCTACCTATTAAGTGCCCAACACTATTATACTATGTGTTTGGAATACAACAAGTAGCAAAACCCTTTAGAAACCTTGCCATAAAGGAGTTACACTCTAATAGGGAAGATGGACATTAATCAAAAATCACACAGATATATGAAATCTTAGAACTGAAATAAGATTAGAAAGAAAAGTATTTGATATTATGCTTATGGTTTGGCAAAGTCAGACACAATGCAGTCACTCTCTACAGCATCACTAGAACTTGAACTTTAGACAGGATTTTAGAATTATTCTAGAATATTGCATTCTTATCCCCTAACTAAGGTTGCATTCTTTGCCATTCTTGATTACATTCAGAGTATCCACACTGAGGTGAGATGTTCCACCATGCAAATATTTAGTGAACCTGGGGAAGGGAAGCAAACCATAATAGGGTTTGATGCATAGGGTATGAAGACTGGGAGGGAATTGGAGGAGAAAGGAGAGGAAAACCCATTTTGTGCTTCTCATCTCAGGTTTCAAGAAGCCCCAAAACCTGACTCCCCTAGAGGCTAATGGCAGCAACTTTGAGAAGCTTTATTATAAGACATAATTAAAAACCAAATAGTCATGAGACCTCTGACAGATTCATCCAGATAGCTAGCTGAATTGAAGGCTTTTGTTTGTTTGACTTTCTACCCCATTACGCTCAATCCTTGGATGGAACCTGACTTTCTTGGCACAGATGCCACACACCAGTTGGCTATTGAGATCCATTGTTTTTTTTTTTTTCTCTGCCCCGAATCAATTTTCTTAAAGAACCAAGATTTCTGACTTCTATCTCCAAATGCAAATACTCAAAACTTCAAATATCCATGTTTACTCCTTATGATTTGAAGACTAACTGCTGTTGTGAGAGAATACCATGGTCAGAAGACCTGCATTTCAACCTGCTAATTACCAGATGGTAAAAGATAAATTAGATTCATCTCTCTAAACTTCAATTTCCTCATCTTTAAAACAGGACTACATAGCACCAATATTCTAGAGTTGCTGTGAAGTTTAATTGATATATACATTTGAAAATGCTTACATGTTTTCTGAATGTCAATTTCTTATAATCTTAACATTGAAAATTTTGGGGGTATAGTGCTGAAATTTTTTTTTTTTTTAGTGTTAGATAACTTCAGCCATAGTGTATTGAGAACAACTACCATTTTCCACATATAGAAAGCCTTCTTCCTCACACTGAAAAGACTAGAAATATAATTATAATGCAGAGCCTATATTGTTTATTATTATTCCTGACCCAGAAAGACAGATAGGGAACAATAATCCCAAAATGTTGAGTAAAGCTAGATTTATATATAAAATGAATAAGGTACAGAGCAGCTTCTCCATTTATTTTTGCAATCTTAACAATTGGTACTCATGGCTATGTGGTCAGATTTTCTATAGTGATGTTGCTATAGGTTCTTCTGGTCATCCTTGATAACTACAGCCTGCAGGAGATTAAGACTGTAAGCATTTCATGAGTCTGAAATGTAGTATCCCTAGTAATTAGTATGCTTTCCATGTGCTACTTTTGACTGACACTAAAAAATATAGGGGGACTATTCTAATTCAGAGCTAGTTAGTGGGTCGGGCTGTGTCACTTATGAGCTGGCAGAATCTGCTGGCAAAGCAAATAGCCTGCAGTTTACAGATTTATGAGACATTGGCAAAAGACAAAGGAAGAAAAAGAGAAATGGTCCTCGATATGGAGACAAACTTCTATTGGTGTCAGAAGGCAGAGGACAGCAGGGTCTACAGTAATAGAAGGATCTATAGCCATATTCCCTATGGTGAAGGTGCAACAAAGAAGAGTGACCAGGTATTTCCAAGTAAGCGCCACATGCTGCTAGAGAAAGGGATACCAAGTCTAACTCCTAACTCAGTAGAAAAAAACATTTTTTTAGAAAAAAAATAAAAGGCTATAGGACAGCATCTTTCATTCTGTAAGTCAATATGAGAATGATTCTTTTTGTAGAAAGTATCGTTACTGACAGTTATCTTGGAATAATCTGTTTCAAAAAGAAATGTCATCAATTAAAGAACATTTTTATTATGTGCTTTTAATCAGATTAAGGACATACCTACTTCCAGGTGTGGCTCAAATTTCTACAACCAATAACTCAGGGTGGGTGTGTTTATCTATAGAAAATGCCTCTTTCCATGTCTGACTCCTCTGCTTGACTTTGACCTTCTCAAGGGCAGAGTTCATGTGCTGCCTGTCTAGTCCCTAATCAGTCAGCATAGAACTCATCTTTATAACAATGGAATGGATATTTTCTGAATTGATTTGAATATTTAAGAAAGTCCCAAACCCAGATCCTTTCAAGAAAATTACAGAACATCCTCTAGAGATGTACATCTTCTCAGAAGTCACTTTCCCTCACAGTCAGCTTTGCAAAGGCCCTCCCAGTCCTCTAGCAGGTAAAAGTAGGGTCTTGAGCAATGTCTGAGGAGTCAGCTTTAAACTTCTCTGATAGGTAAGCTTTGGACTTCTCTGATAATCTCAGACAGGTAGTTCACCTGAGGAAACAAAACCCTCCAGGGAAGATGTTTTTCATTTTTGTTGCCCATAATCACCTGTGTGGCTGATCTGACTAGCTGGGGTTGGAGTGCTAAGTGACACTCGGTTAAAGAAACACGCAGTACTGCTGGCCAGAGGTCCAAAACAGGCTTTCCCAAACAGAGCATGGATGCACTGTGTGACTCAGCAACATCTGAAGCTTTTCCTTCAGATATGTTTAAGGGCAGGGAATCAAAATCCAACTCAGAAAGAACCATTAGGAGAATAAGCCAATAGCAGGATGGAGTGTCTGAGTTTTTGGGCTAGACCCAGAGTCTAATCATTGAAGATCTGGTCAACTCCTTCTTAATTTTTTAGCACCACAGCAATCTTGTTTTTTTCAGAGATGGGGCACAATAGGAGTTAGCTTTCAAGAGGGTTCCTAAATCCTCTGGAATGTATCTATAACAGAAATGTTGGCAAATTGACTTGAGTCATAATGCTTAAGCTGGCAGGACAACAAAACTATGATTTTTATGCCTGATGTATACTTCTTAGATACAAAGTTATTAATGTAATGCACAAAATTATGCAATAAATGCAGTGGGACATTAAAGCAAAGTTTTATAGTCTTGAAATATGAGAAAGAGGAGAAAAAGCTGCCAGACTCATGATATCTGATGCCCTATTTTCTTTTATCAGAGTTGGGGATCATTAGATTTATTGCTTAAGCTGAACTTTGTTCAATATTTATTCAACTCAAAGTTCTGTTTATCTGATTAAAATTTACGTTTTCAATAAGTCAGATTCAGCTATTATATGAACTACAAGTTATTCCCAGAGTAGTCAAGTATGACTACTTATTTTAATCTGAATTTAACTATAGTATATTTTATCTAAATCCAGGTGCAAGTTACATAACACATGGCAAAGGAGTTCACCTGACACTCTCAGGGGATGCCATTTATTAGTATCTTTGTTTAGTACTAAACTGAACACAATGAATGAAAAGGGTAATCTAGCATGACATTTGTACTATGAATTTACATAGCCCATATTGTCATCAGCACGTCTCTTTCACAATAAATCTAGGAATAGTCAGGGAGAAGTTAATATCTCATTGGCCTCCTCATTGCAGAAGAATTCATGTTTAGAGAGAAAACATCTTAAAGAGGCCACTGAAGAGGAACTTAATAACACCTGTGTTGGGAAACTATCATCTGGACTCTATTGGCCTTTGTGCTACTTTGTGCCTAAATACCACTATAAAGGACTAGGTATGATTCAAATATCAGAGAAACTATATTCACATGGTCTTACCTTTATAGGAGTTTAAAACAATTCAATTTTTTGTTTTGAAAAAAAAAATACACCTTATTTACATGGAAGCTGCTGGAGGGAACAATGCAATAAAAGAATACAGAGAAGGAAGAGTCATTTAAGGAGAAACAAGAAAAAAGAGACAGATCTTAAGGTGGGGCTGCCTAGGAGGGAACTGGCAGAGAGACAAAGTGTATAAGAGACAGGGAGAAGATTAAGAAAGAAGACAAAGAATGAGTGGATATGACAGGTGCTGACATGAAGCCATGCTACTTGAGAATAAGGGTCTCTGGTACTAAGTGTGGAGAGAAGTTGTTGAGTAAGTCAGGGTAGAATCAAGTTAAATTGAATCCCATATTGAAGCCCAGAGAGGTTTAAGCACTTTCTTGGGCACAATCTGAAAACATGGTAAAGATGTGACTCAGCTTTTAAACACTATACTACTGTCTCTTCCTAGGTTTATTGTCCACCCAGGAAATTGTCCATCAGGGTGTCCATGGCAATAGTAAAATCATGTTGATTTTGGTCTTAGAATATCATATCATAGTTGGAAGGTTAAGTTTCATGAGATTTGCCCAATTATGTTACCTGAACCAGCCTGGACATACGCTAACCAGCTTGCCTAGAAACCATCAGTTTCTAACTTAAGTGGCATCTTCTTATCTACTTCCTTTTTCTCTGTCTTGACTTTAATAGATGAGTTGCTATCACTATGCTGTGTTTAATTTCCTATAAAACAAAACAGTGCATCAATGGGGCCTGTGGATATCCAAGCTCTGTTTGTTATGTAGCACAAATTATCCCACAGGAACAGTCTGCAGCTGTCAGGCAGTCTCTCCTCCTTCCAGTCTAGCAATGCAAGGAAAATATAATTACATTGTTATCATCTGTACGCTAACCTCAGTGTTATCAAACTGCCAATGGGTTGGCATACCTACCCCATGTAAGGTAAATGTGAAACTCATGTTCACGATACATATTTACCTAGACTTTATTTTGTCTTCTAGGCTCTTCAATGGCCAACAAGGAATTATTATTCAAAATTTTAGCACAAGATCCATTCTCACTGTTACCAACGTGACACAGGAGCACTTCGGCAACTATACCTGTGTGGCTGCCAACAAGCTCGGCACAACCAATGCGAGCCTGCCTCTTAACCGTAAGTAATACAGTGCTGAAGAAGTGCTCCCAGGGCCTCCCAGCGCCTCTGCAGTGGCATAGATGAAACCTAAGAGTGGAATGTACGTTGTAGAACTCATTCTGATGTGACACATCCCTTACACACAGAAAACCTTGTCCCCAAACAATAGGGACATGTGAAATTTTGTAATTCCTATAGGAGTCTACATGTGCATAGAAAAATATCTTAGCGCTAAGGAAAAAATAATACATAAATAATAGGGCTAACAGAAATGTGACTTCTGACTGAGGATAGCTGCTTTAATAGGGTTTTGTTTGTATTTGGGGTTTTTTTTAAAAAGTGTGTTATCTTGAAGCATAAATTATTTATGGCTTGCTTTACTCTTGGTTAGTTTTCTTTAGACATTCATCTTTGGATAGCCAGAATTTCATAAGCCATAAATAAGATGAAATAGTAAGTAAGTAATGGTGAACAAAATATTTAATTCATACAGATAACATTTTTACTCAAGCCTGTATTTTGGAATATAGCTTAAGAGCTCACTAAAATAAATATTTCATTGCTAGTGTGTGTTAGTTCCTGCAAACTAGAAATGAATAAGAGAGCAAATACAAGGACCTGTTAAAGGGAGAGAACCTGATACTGTTTTCCTCTTCAATTAATTTTAGTGTGTTTTAGAAGCCAAGTAAGCAAAAAATGGTTGCAACTATAAAATATTTCTAATTTTCAAAGTGTGTGTTTCTTAAAAAGCTCAGAGAAAACTAGAGCACCCTGTTCAATCCCACAAAGTTATCTGAATTACCCTTTTATTTATCTTTAATACTTTACAGTAACCTGACGTGTATATTTATATCAGCATCCTGTGATAGTAAGCTATCCCTGAAAAATACACATGCTCTGCAGTTCATCATGGAAATGATCTTTTCCATTTTGTAGAAACAGGGATAGAATATATAATGTTCCTACTATGGGAAATATATTATCGTAAGTTTCATGATTTATGAACTTTGAATTGCCATGTCTTAGATATGAAATAAAATATATGAGTTTATATCACAGAGGTTTTTTTTAAATTTTAGCTTGATATTTCTTAATGTTAAATTTTGAAAGACATTGTTTGCCATGCAATAACTATAGTGTAATATGCTTGCTCTAGTGTCGTCCTTGAAAATGATTTACTTAGTATGATTATGAATAAGGGAAACCATTGAAGATATTATAAAACAGTATGAATTCCAATTTAATATAAATATTGATACTTCTTTGGTATATTATTAATATTTTACATAGTTTAAATATTCAAGAGCCTAAAAGAATCAATGAATTTAAAAGGCTAAAAAAATTTAAGGCTTTATAACATATTAACTTTTTGCTATTTAAATTTCTAAATCACTTCCTGATTCTTCAAAACTGAAGTATTAATGAATGTGACAAATTAAGAACAAATGTCACTTATTTAAAAATGACTATTTTATTCTAACAACCTTAACATTATCATCTGAAAATAATATGCTGCCAAAAGGCTTCTAAATGTGGAATATTTAGGATGGAATCTCACAATCTCTACCACTGATTTTCTGTCCATTGAGATGCAGTACACACCACTAAACTTCTTTTTAAATTTTGTTAATAAAGTCAAAATGTACAAATCTTGTATGAAGTTACAAACATAGCCATGATATTTGATGAAATTCCTATTTATTTAGAACTCTCATATGCACCTTTGAAGTACTCATTGCACTAAGCATTTCTATTTGTACTATAATAATTATTGTATTTATTTTTTGTGGTGCTGGGATTAAACCCAGGGCTTCACATACACCAGGCAGGTACTCTAGCACTGTGCTATATCCCCACCCCCACTGTTATTTTTGTATAATTTTAATCTTTCTGCCAAACCCTGAGTTCTTTGAGAAGAATCAATGTCTGATAAACCGTTTTATCTCCCCTACCAACAAGCACAGTGCTTGCTATTTAATAGGTGATTAGTAAATATTTAGTGAATAAATGAATTAAACACTAAATAGTTTAATTAATGGATTAATGAGTAAATGAAGGAGTAAACTGTGTTTCAGCCACAGAATGTGTACTTGCAACCTCCAGAGATACAAGGCAATATCATTATAATTACAAACAACACTTGTTAGCTTACTCTGGGTCTATTCTAATTTCTTTATGTGGATTTGTTTAATTCTCACATAATTTAAAGTTAGATTCTACAATTCCCCTCTCAAAGATAAGGAAACTTACAGAGAGAATATAAATATGGCCAAAGGCCAAGTGGTTGGTAAGTGACAAAGTGAAAACTTAAATTCTGATAGTCTGACTGCAGAGTCCAGGCTTTTAACTAATACACTTCACTCTTTATGAACATAAAACTATCAAGAAAGTCAGAGATAATTTGTATCATTTACAACATGCTCTTCAAAACGTAAATCTCTATGCATAAAATAATTGTCCTTTCTGTAGGTTTCATCAACTTTCCTTTAATAATTAGGATGTTATTTAATATATGAAAATTTATTTTAAAAATAAATGTCTACATCTTCTTCCATAAGAACTCCTCTCACATCTTCAAAGTCTCTGAAGGAGAAAAGTGTTCAACCTTTAGAAAAATGATCCAACACTAGAAACAAGTCCTAAACTGATCCAACATTGACCTGTGACCTTCTAAACAACCTCTATCATTTGTTACAGGTCAATGCTTTCTATAGGTTATGGGGTGTATAATGCTAACTTGCCCAAATTCTTGTTCAGGGAAAAGGAGGTAGACACCAAGGGACCCACCATCTGTATAGATGATGTTGTTTGGCATATGTTTTGAATAAGAAATTTTTCATGTTTTTGTGACTTGTGTCCTTGAACAGTTAATAAGTCAAAGTCAGGGTAACTGGCAGTGTGGGCTACCTGCTATAATGCTGATTAGTAGCAAGCACTCAAACTCCAACAAAGTGGTAGCCACTAGGAATCAGCTGTTCATTCAAACTTCTTAGGACAAACCCTGAGACTATTACAACTATTACAATCTGCTTCTGGCTTGTAATAACTCACATTTTCCAGATAATCAAAAAGATAAATGGAAAGTTGTAGGTCATAACTAAGATTATCATAAAGAAAACACAAAACTTTAGAATGTGTGAATGGGGGTATGTGTGCATTTCACATAGTGAGAGTCAAGTAGGTCTTGGTTGATCACACGCCTCACACATCAATTGTGTGTGCCTTCATGTAAGTTACCTAAAATCCAAATCTTCAGTTAACTCATTTGAAAAAGGAGGGTAATAATAACAACCCCCTTTCAAGATATCAACTACTAGGGATGTTTCATTTAATACACTTATCATTCAGCCCGGGACAAAGAAAGGCATTCAATATTGTAAACCATTGTACTTGAAGTAATGTATCAGATCTAGCTTCTAATTTAATCCCATCATTTGCTTAGTGCATTAACCAGACTTTGTGGCAGTAATTCAAGATTAAATATGATACCTGCAGTGTAGCAGTTCGGATAGGAGATTCAAAGAGTAAAGGCAGAACCAACACAATTCTATTTTGAGAGCCAGATAATTCATTAACTGGTAACGTGTCAAATATATATATATATATTGACTGCCTACAATGTGCACATCACTGTGCTAGATTTTGGCCTAGAATCCCAATCTCAATGAGTTCTCAGACAGCTGAGAGGAAGGAAGGAAAAAAACAGGCAAATCTATTGCAACATAGACAATGGTACTATGTGAGGTAGGGAAGAGGCCTAAATCTCAAGGATAATGAATGGATTCTCATCCAGAGTATCTAATATTGATATTTGAATGGTAACATCTTAGCCATTATTGTCTCATTTTTCCAAAACAGAACTTTCAATGACTCAAGGAAAGCTATAGAGAAGATGCCACATGAGCTAAGGAAATGATTGGGTTGATCCTGAGTATGAGAATGATATGAAAGAGTGAGGGGATGGCTAGTGTGGAACAGTTCATGTAAAGACATGTTGCGATGAAATAATGTGTTTGAAGACACAATGGTATTTCCATATGGTTAAAGAACAAGGAGAAGGAAAGTACTGAGATATGAGGCTAGACAAGTTTGCATGGATTAGGACAAGAACTTTATTCTGGATTTGGAGAATCACTGAAAGATATGAATGATATGAATAGATTTGTTTTCTTAGTCGATCTGGATGACAAATCCAGATACTAAAACTTTGAATAATAAAAACAAAAGAAACTAAATGCACAGAAAGAAGAGCAGATGTGAGAGAGTTGAGATGGAATTAGGAGATATGAGTTGATGACCAAATTCGAGAGAACAGATAGGGAGTTGCAGGAAGCTATATAATTCCTAATGTTTAGTTGGGGTGACATTAATCCAAATAAGAACTTAAGAGAAGGATTCAGGCTTTTAGCTTTTAAAAGGAGGTAGAGATTGAAAGAAGAGAATAAGTTCAATTTTGGACATATCCAGTTTAAGGCAATGCCCAGTAGGTAGCTAAATGTAAAGTTCAGAATGGAGATATAGATTTAGAAGTCATCAGAATGGAGGTGGTGATTTGAATCATGTGAGTAAATCAGATTTCTCGTAAAAATATGGACATGAAAAGGTGACAAAGGATAGAAATACAAATAAAGTCAGCATGGAAGAGCAGATAGAGGAGGAGGAGCATCCTCTAGAAGGATGCAGATTCAGTGTGTGTGAATGGAGATGCCAGAGGAGGTTCAGTGCTGTGGAAGGTATGGGCGGAAACTATTTCAGAAAGGATGGTGGGGCAGCAGTATCCTTTGCTGCATCAGGCCAGAAAAAGTCTGAAAGTCAACTTCTGCCTAATAATTGGTGATCTGTGCCAGAGGATCTCTGTGGAAAACTGTGAGTAGAAGATAGGTTTCCATGGATTAAAGTTGAATACGTGGATGAAGAAACAAAGAACTGAGAAATAAACCACTCTAGGAAGGAGATGAGACCATTGCTGTGCTTAGATGCCCTGAAGCTGGTCTTCTCGGGCCACTTTGCTCATTAGC